ATCTGGTGCTGCGGTGACGATGGCTGCACCGCTCGACAAATCGATTGGAAAAAAAAAAGAGTTTCGCTGCCCGTAACGAATAAAGCTCTCCATTCATCACGTTCGTCTTGTTAATCCACATCGTGATCGGTTAGGAATGCGAGCGACCGCTTTCGCGGAAAGTCAATAGCCGGAGCACGCGAGGAATCGAAACGGAAAAGATTTTGCGACAATCGTAACAAAATCGCCGCTATTAAATCGTCGCGATCGTCGCTTTTCCCGCCGGCCGGCATTTTCATCGGCTCTTTGTCGAACGTCTTCGCGCGATCGAAACAAACCGTAATTTATAACCCGACGTAAATTATACGCGATCGGGTGCGAAATGAATATTCATGCGGCTCTCGCCGTTGCCGATTGGATAGTTATGTATTGCCCGCGCAGATGATAGTTCCTACAGGTGAATTATTCGACATCGAAATTATTTTCGTCAAACAGCCAATGAACGCCCATTGAATCCGAAACAATGAGAACAATTGATGATCCCTGTTAACGTTAACCGCGACAAATATAATCGCGTTATTGCGGTAACAGCTTTCGCGCTCGCGCGGCGGCCGCGTTCTCTGCTCGCTGGAACAGCTATTTAGCCGAATCGAGATACAATCCGCGACAAAATAACCTATAAAATAAAATGTAATAACAACCTATATTATTATAAAAATGTAATAATAACCTAATTTAACCTTGTAGCTCCGCGGTTTTTCAGAGCATTTTGCGAACCTTAGCGTCGGCATAGCAATAAATCGCATAGGCGTAGCGCTAGACCACGGGGAAATTCACGGCAACCCGAAATTTGGCATTTCAGGGAGAAATTACAGTACCTTGGACTTCTTAAAAAACGTCGATTGAATTATTAAAGTTATTTTCACCTACAGATAATGAAAAAAAAGGCGTGAAAATAAACTTGCTCGCGTTTACGCGTCTTTTCTATTGTCTCTTCAGCTATTTATTTCTGTTACCGGATTCGTTCTTCATTCTTTTTTCTCCGGCTTCGTTTTTCATTGAAAAGTACCGGGCGGACGGCGACGGAATCAGGAAAAACGACTCGCAACTTGCCACGGGGTTTTTAGGGGGACTGTTCCGTTTTGTTTACGAGGCGAATATCGCACATCACGATTTTTGCAATTACGCGAACACGGCGACGAGAGGCTTCTCTTTTCTTTGGTCGTTCTCTGTGCCCCAATAAAACGAAACTCGCGGATCGGTCCGGACAATAGGCGAAGTTCGCGACACCGTTTAATTTCCATTCGACTCCGTAATTATCTTGTAATAATCCTTCTTATCTCGAATTGCCCAAGAGAGCCCTGTTCTTTTATCCGTACTGCGATCGCTTCTTCCTGCTTTCGCCATTCGCGAGTTATAATCTTCGCAAACTTCGACGGCGCCTTCGTCTTTCCTCTCTTTCCTTGCCTAATGTTCGCTTCGTCGGAGATTGTTTAATTTTCAAGCTCGAGTGCAATAACATTGGTCGCGGAATATTTTAACGTATCCAGTTGCAAAATAATTTTGGAAACGTCGCACGATTTATCGAAAATGTAAAAGCATCTGCCATTCGATCGATGCAAAATTTGCAAAAATATTCAACAATTCAAATAAACAGTCACAGTTTTGTCATTATTATTCAAATAAATAGTCACACAATTTATAATTATGATCAGCTTATTTTACTGAATATTAACTTATTATATTACTTTCAATATCTTTTTCGCAAGCTTTACAGGAAATTTCGCGAATTTAGTATCAACAAATTGAAATAATTTCTGTAACAATTAACGGAATAATCAAATAAACAATTAACGGAATACAAACTTAAAGAACGCGATACGTATCTCTCGATAACGAACAAGAAGCACAGTAATTGGCTAACGCACAGTAACTGCCTCCATTACCCTACGTTACCATAACCTGGATTAATTAATTAGTTCATTAGATGTATCCCTGCGAGCATTAAACAATCAATATCGCCTTCGCGGAATAATTAGCCCGTGAAAGCAGAAATTCTTGTCGAGAAGCACGTTTCAATTGCAACTTCTATTACGGTAATTACGGACACGGAGAGGAACCGTTATAACTCCGACGCATTTTTTTATTCCTCTTAAGGAATTCTTCCGGCGATAGAGACGAGAAAAAGCTATAGGTATAATTTTCGAACTACGTCGAAAGTTACGATCGCTGTCGGGACATCAAAGATCGATCTTACAACGAAGAAACGAGCTTTCTACGAGCAATAAAAAGACCGCCTCCTCCCCCCCTTTTATAGGCTACGTAATGTTAATCCGACCGTTTCGATAGTCCTTCCGAGATAATTATCTATGCAATATCTCCCGCGAATAACTGCGCGGGACTCGGTTACTTTTCTAATAAAAGACCGAGCCGTTTCGCTGGAAATGCTCGAATTTGTATCCTTTATAGGCGCGCATAAACAGGGATCTTGAGTAATTTCACTTTGATGCGATATCTGGATGGACAAAAAATGAATGATCCGACGACGATTCATATAATGCATATAATGCATTATAGTTTACTATAATATAATAATAATGCATTATAGTTTACTACAATATAATAATAATGCATTATAATTTACTACAATATAATAACAATGCATTATAGTTTACTACAATATAATAATAATACATTGTAGCTTACTATAATGCATAAATATCATTGAAATAACCCGTCACAAATATGAGCGCGAAAGATACCACAGTTTACACGCAAAAAGATCGGAAAAACGAGAACCGCAAATTGCACTAGAATCGTCCCCTAAATCACAGAGCAGCGAATTAAATGGTATCGGTTAACAAACCCGATTCCGACCTCGATGTTCCCTTCTTGCCACGAAAATCCGGCGCTGTGCGCCGCGCGCGGTTCGACCCGAGCTTGAAATTCATTCGATCCTAGACCAGCAAGAGAGAGAGAGAGAGAGAGAGAGCATTCCTGCAAGAAACGCTGTGGCTGAAAACAGGCAAAATTCGCGCGGATAAGAAACGTCGTCGCCGCGTTACAAGCCCCGTCCGCGGAGCGGTAAACAAACTTATCCGAGTAAAATGTACACGTCTGCAAAGTGCGGCGGCGCTTCCTTTTAACGCGGCACCATGTTTTTCCGCGCGTTAATCTCTGCTCTCTGCCTTGGCGCTTCGCACGGATGAAGAACTAGATTATTTCCCCGGAGAATAGCATTAATGCCACGTCCGCGGCCGCGACGAAGAATGCCGCATGTCGCATATTTTCACTTCCCCGATGCTGTCGCATGAAGTTCTGATCGCTCGTGCCTCGCATTAGCAGCGTTTCATATTTCATCGTTCTACGAAGTCTACGGTATCTGTTTTCACGAAGTCTTTTTATCCGATTAATACGGACATTCTATATATGCAATAAATTATAATCGACGCTCGGATTATTGTGCACAAAATGGACGATTCGGGGAAAGAGTTCGCATAATCGAATCGTTCGTATAACAGAAGTCCCACGATTTTCGATACTATTGTAAGATTTCTCGATAATTTAATGGGATTTTACCAGGCGCTGCTGGAATCTAGTTCCATTTAGTTGCATTTTTTTACAGGATCTGAGCTACGTTTCTCTTATTTATTTACTTCTCGATAATAAAGCATTAACGCTTCGCACTCGAGAAGCGTTTCCATATTTCTTCCCAATAACAGAATAATTCGAGGAAAATCTATTTATCTATTTATGCTACTTTATTTACGCATATTTGCATTTTGTAATTATTCAAGCACAGCAGTTGCAAGTCGCTGCAGGCAACGCCTTTAACAAGCGCTCAATTATGAAAAATAAATAAACAAATAAAGTACGAATGGCAATATTTATGTCGGTGGATTGCACAAGTTGATGAATACGAGGAAAATTTATCTAATATCTCGCGCGATGAAATCTCTGTGTAACGAACTTTGCGAAACGAAACGTTTCCCATTCGATTTTAGTTACAAACTTTTACTGCACGCTGCACATTCTGTTAACTGTATATTTTGCGCGGCTCGGAATTGAAAACCAACGCCGTGTATTAAATTAAACGATAAAATTAATTTGAAATTTCGTGCTCCGTTTCTCTATTATAATAACTGCACCATGATTTGACGGTCTTCTTCGGTTTCGTTTATTTAAAAATACGTATTCGCACCGGCCGCGGGCTAAAACGTTCCGCAAAATTGCTTCATTAACAGCCGGCGTATTTGACCCCCGGCCATATTTGACGCAACAATTTTAATTACGATGTGTTATGCGCGCGCGCTGCCATCGTTTGACCTACTTAATAAATTAGCATAATAAATTATTAGTTATACATCGATACCGATTGTCAAGAATTATAAAAAACGAGCAGCAACGCTCGAATAATCGTGTCTCCTGCTCCCCAAATTGTCCATTTTAGTGGACAATCTGAGCGTCAGTAAGGGAGACATTACTGTAATTTGTAAATAATGTCCGGGAAATATAGAGATCGTGTTGTTATAGTACTCTGAAATCTTTTATTCGATACTGAGATGCGAACAATAAATCTGAGAGAGTAACAAGATTCTCGTTCAGATCGCTTTGTGTTATAATTCCTATTTCTACCAGGTTAGTCGGTTAATAAATCGGTCACAACTTGTAAAAATCACCGCAGCGGCTCCAAATAAATTTTCTCCGTTCAGAATCCTCATATTACAGTAATGTCTCCCTTACTGACGCTCAGATTGTCCACTCGAATTGTCAAATTGGATAATTTGAGAAGAGATACGATCATTCGAGCCTTGCGGATTGTTTTTATAATTGTGGACAATTTATAACTATAAAAATAAACCGCAATCGTATCTCCTTTTCCCAAATTGTCCAGTTTTGTGCGCAATCTGGGCGACAATTAGAGAGACATTACTGTATATCGTTCGAAAGCGCAGATTTATCATTTATCCGTATTAATTTAATTAATATAATATATTTAATTATATTATATTATTATAATATATTATTATATTTAATTTAATATAATAACACTAACAACGAACAAGAAACAACAAATAATATAATTAATGCTTGTCCAGGAAACATTGGACGTACGAGAACGCCATCTTGCACTCGTCGGGCATAGATTTCACTGAAACGAATAAAACGATTCATTGCACAATTTGTTGTATTTCCATTCTATCGTCGAATCTTCTTGTTTCGTAACTGACCTTTCTCCATGCACTCTGCCACTGCCTTTTCAAGGACAGGAATCTTTTCCGGATTCTTCGAGTGCGCTTCCTTAACGAATGCGATCAAGTTCTCCTGATTCAGCTTCGAGTCTTTTATCTGGAATTCACGAAGGGAAATTATTGTCGTCGAACGATCCGTGAAATCGGCGAAATTTTTCAATTAATTCGTAGCTTTTCGTTTGCGCCCTACCGTGCCCATTCTCTTCATCGTGCAAGCAAGCAGACACGTGGATCCATCCAGGCCCGATTTGAGGTCCTTGTCGAATATTTCTCGAGGTGTCTCTGATTTGATAGATAGGAAAAATAGTTCCAGATCAATGTGAATGAAAGATTTATTATTGAAGAATTTCTGTTTCTGAATTAGGAATAAAGCTGTCTTTTTCTTTCTTTAAGAAAAGAACATCTTCATATTCGCTGCTCGAAAATTCAATTCTATTGGCTTCTATATATATGTATATATTCATTTATTATTATCATTTATTTTTATATGTTATAATAAATATAATATATATATTTATTTATATAGCTTTATTATGTATTTTTATTTAGCTTTAGATAGCTACAAAGATAGCTTTATATTATACGTATTATATTATTATATTTATTATCTGTTATACATGTATATACACACAATATATACAGCAATAAACTCTTAAACGAGTCACATCGGCACAGTTCGTAAATCTAGCGTTAAAAGCTCTGTATTTTGGTTCAAAAGCCTTATCGAATAAAAAGGGCCAGTACGAGCACGTGAAATAGAAGAGAATTTGTATTTACGCTCAGTGAAACCATTTTCCTTTGCACAGTGGGTAATCGGGTCTTTGACCAAGTCTAAGTAGAGATCGGCTACGTCCGCCTTGACCATCTAAATGGTACCAAAAAATTGACAATGAATTAAAAGCCTAGTTTTTATTACACCTCCAGTGTCTAGGTGGACAAAATTCACGGAAATACGATAATTTTCTGTATTATATCGGTATATATATTATGTTATTATATTATATAATAATAATATTATATAATATAATATAATATTATTGTCATATATAATTATATAATATTATATTAATACTATATTATTATTACTATATATTATACTATTATGTTCATACTATTATTATTATTATTACTATATTATTACTATTATATTATTAATACTATATTATATTATATTATATATATACCCAAACCTATGCACTGGAGCGAAAATTGTCTTACTTGCTAATCGTTTCGTCAACTTTTGTACTCACAACGGCGGCAAATACGACCGCAACGACTACGAGGATCTTCATTTCGAACGATTGTTGACGCAGCTTCCGCGAACAGAAAATATTCGTGATCGACTGATATCTGCTGTCCGTCGATCCTGTTAGATATACCGCGGAAACGATCGTAAAAAACGTCTCATGACTGACAAGTTAAATCGCGCGTTTTATTGAAAAAAGATAAACGCTAATTGATACCTGCTGATATTGAATTCGTACTCATACTTATTTACCCTCTTTAGAAACCTTGACACCTGTCGAATTCACGGCCAAATGAAACACGACGCTTTCAAAATAATCGCGTTCATTTTATACAGTGTGGTCCACTCGAACGTGTCGCCACTTAAATATCTCCTGTATTAGTTATGTAACGGAACATGTTTCACGTGCGATCTAGCTAAAGGTGAATTTGGTGATTCTGTGCAATACCTTCGCAACGAGAGAATTCTGAATTATGCTAATCTTTAGGATCGCGTCTGAGATCGAAGCCGCACGCGATGTTTTTTGTTAAAACATCTCAAACGGTTCGTGTCAACAGCAAACGCACTACTTCGTTTACGTAACGTAACGAGGCTGATTTACACATAATTATTCGGTTAGGATTATTATCCTGTATTATACGATATATTTCGTGCCGCTTGCGATCATTTTCATAAATAATTCTTCATTGGCGAACGATATTTCATTCTCATCTTCCGCGAGACAGCTTTCGAGAAAATGCAACATTCAAGAATATGCAAAACAAATATCTCTATATATATCTATATCTCTCTATATCTATATATCTCTCTAATTTTGCAAAAATATTAACTCGTTTACTGCAAATATATATGTTCTGCAATTAAGATACCAATAAAGTCTTAAGGACTCGAAATGCCGGAGAAATCCCGATTTCAAAATTCGAATACAGTGTTCCGAAATTTATAAGAATGATGTCAAGGTTATGTCAATTATGATGTACTAATTATTGCACGTGACTAAAGTGAACAAAAATCATTAATAATTTCTGCCTGCATGTCTAAAACATTTTTGAAACGTTTTCGAATAATTTCGTCACTGTTTATTATATGCTGCAAATGAACCACCAGTGCCTACAGCCTCTGTTCCCGCAATAATATCATTTTTCGTAGCAACGCGTTGCTCGTTGCATTACGCTCTCTAGATTGAATTCAAAGCATTAGGCAGCACCGATGTAGCTTTCATTAATTACACGTATAATAAGCCACGTCGTTTCTAAAAATCCCTCCATTACGTTTCATTGTATGTTAATTAAGTCTCCTACATTTTAGGTTAATTATCTCGCGCTGTACATTAATATTCATAATTTGCAGTGCATTTTTTACGATGATAATGTTTCACGAGGCGTCGAAAAATTTCCTATACGATGCTGTTACACGGTAGAGGTTATGTCGAGCTCAAAAATTCGAGTAAAAATTTCACCCTCTGACCGTAAGAACGGCACTCGAGAACCGAACCACGTGGTCCACGGGCCCAAAAGTTTCCCGATCGGCGTAAAGTTAAAACGCGCGACGATTTCCATTTAGACTTCATTTCGCCGCCGGTTTATTTTGAATAACGATTCGTAATTAATTCCCCATTTTCTCTGCGGTCGCGGCGACGAAAACTCGCGCGCGATTCGGTTCGGTTCGAACACGGGGCGACTGGAAACGAATAGCACAGCCGGCATAGGAGGGCACCCCGAAATTCCCATAATTCCCCGGGGCTCGGAGGCAAATAAACTGGCGCAGCTGCGGCTGCAGTTCCTTCGACGAGTAAAAACGTTAACCGGCTCTCCCGGCGAGCTTCGAATACAGGGTGTCCCAAAAATGTCTCGCAATCCGAAAGTAGGCGATTCCTGAGGTGATTCGAAGCAACTTTTTCCTTAGCGAAAATGCGATCCGCGGCTTCGTTTGCGAGTTATTAACGAAAAACAGTGACCAATCGGAGGCGAGATCGTTTGGCGCGAGACGGCCGAGCCAATGGGCGGAACCGGGCTCCGCGCACTCGTTGGCTGGGCCGCCGCGCGCCAGCCGAGCTCGCCTCTTATTGGTCCAGTGTTTTTCGTTGATAACACGTAAACGAAGCCTCGGAGACAATTTTCGCAAAGGAAAAAGTTGCTTCGAATCACCTCGGGAACCTCCCATTTCCGGATTGCGAGACATTTGCGGGACACCCTGTATAAGCCACGCCGGTGATCGGTCTCTTATTTGAGGGGGCGCGCGGCATCGATCGCGCGATATGCTCGCTCGCGTTTCGGTGTCTGACGCGGGACAGAAGGGTGCTCTCGTGCACGGACGCATCGAACCCGACGCTAACACAACCGCGGCACGACGATCTCGAATAGGGAGGAAGAAGTTTCCGTGACAGAGACCGAATACTAATCTTCTTGTGACCTATTCTTGGCGATTTATTGGCGCCGCCCGTTAGTCCCTGTCGGTTTTCCTATTGATCTACGCGATCTTTGCATTCGGAGATCACGATATACGTACGTACGTGTATTCATTCCTGGGCAGGACCGTCGAAATTGGCAGGCTTATTGGAATACAGCGGGTTCGGTATCTGATAAGACAATCGATTCCACGTTCATGCATAATAATAAGTTGACTGCGGATATGCTTGTCCGAACAGAAAGTTTTCTCCATCGATTGCAACGTGCTACGATCGAATAATAAATTCGATTCTCTCTTTCGAATGAAACTTAATTCAAGAAATATTACGAATAAATTCTGCGAATAGAATTTCCTTCAAGAAATATTTCGATTGCAATTTTTACATAATATTTCCCTAAAATACATATAATAGAATCGTACATCGTCTTTCCATTAATCATCCAACCAAAATTCAAGTCTCCCAGCTCAGTTCTGAAAAATGTATTACCCTTTTAAATGGTGTACGAACACTTTTGCGGGCCACTGTACCCGCGAACGATAGTTCGAATAAAGATCGGCGCTCCTTGCGAACAATTCGCGAAGGGAGAGCAGGGGAGCGGTGCCGTAATTAATATCTGAAAATACTCGGAAGCCCCGAACTGTAACAGTTATCGAGCAGCCGTTCTCTCGGAAGCCTCAAAAACCCGAAGGCAACTAACCGTTTATTGAAAGGGAAGAATTTATCGTTAATACCGTGGCCGGTATCCGGACGCACACCGGTATTACACCGCCGGCCAAACTTGTAATTATGTTCGACGCGGTATTTTCGAAAGCGATCGCGTCGGGGCGGCGGCGGCGGCGGCGGCGGTCCACAAAGACCGCAAAAAGACGGCGCGGAAATGAGAAGATAAATCTGACAAGAAGAGCAGCGAGGCGAGGCGAGGCGAGGCAAGTGATCGCCAAGAAACTCGGGGGCGAATTCCTCGCTGGAAATTCCGGGCTCGGTTACGCCGAGTTCGCGTTCGCCCGGATCCATGCAGCGATCGGCCGCCGATCGATAAACCATCCGCGGATACATCGACGGGCTGTCATAAACTTCGAAAGGAGTATGTCGAGCACGTATGACGAGGACCATCGCGATCCATATGGGACCGTACTTCTTGGAACGTGCGCGCGAACACGCGGCGACGGTTGCGAACAGGCGAGAGAAAGCGTACCGGAGGGGTGCGGCACCCCCCTAAGGAGGGTGCAGGAGGGTGCAGGATGCAACGGTCGAACCGGAAGAAGCCGCCGCGGGCGGAGAGAGAGAGAGAGAGAGAGAGAGAGAGAGAGAGAGCCCGAAAAGAAAATGCGAGTTACATTTCTTTCTGCCCCGAAGAGATTCAATATTTCACCCCTTAGCGCCGCTAAGAGATCCCGACGCTCGAAACTTTCCACGGCGAAATCCACCCTTTTTCCACGCGCGTTTCCCTCCCGTCGCCCCCCGTCTATATCACCGCCGAGTTCGGCGAAAGATCCACGAGCGGCGGCGGTGATCAGAGAGTTTCGCCGGAAGTATCTAACCGCCGCAGCCCCGAAACTTTCCGCCGATTCGTTCGCCGCGCGCCGAACGATGATTTAATTCCGTCCATTCGGATGGTAATCACGGAAATTCGGGGTTACGTTCGATGCACCGCCGGGAACCGGCCGAGTGTTCTATCGATGTGCTCCCTCCGATGGTCCCGGCGATTCGCGGCAAGTTAGCGAAGTTCTCGCGCGGAAAGAAAAATATACCGAGAAGTGTTCGCGGAAGGGTGGAGCGGAAAGGGCGGAGACGGAGTGCCGGTAATGTTTCAGGGCGAGCTTGGTCGGTTAAAGCTTTCCGATACCAACGGTGATCAGAGTCGCCCGATGCACTGCGGGGTCGCAGCCCCGAAGACCCGAGATATACAGTTGCTCGCAAAATTGAGCGCGCACCCTTTTAAAACGCGATAACCTTTTTAATAGACCGAGTGGCTCGAACGTTTTGCTTTTTAGATGATGAAGGGACTAGTCTGCCGAACGATTACTATATACGCTTCCTCTAAATTTTGCTACTGCTTGGAATGAGAATAAAAGAAATAAAACGCTCTGGTTTTTTAACTTTTTTTTATCTGAGCCTATAAGGACGATTTAAAAAATGTCTCTCGCGGATCTCGGTAAGATTTGGATCGCCGCTATATTTTCACGTGAAACTAGGTTATTTTAACTTCGTAGCATTGGAATTGTTGCTACTGTACTCGACGATACAAAGAAAAATCGCGGCTATTTTATTCGCGACGCTATGTCAAGTCGCGAACGTGCCCGACCGAGCTGTTGTTGGGGCGCCCAGGTCCGCCCTTTGTTGCAGCCGCGGCATGGGCGCCTGAAACGTCGGAAGGCAAACTATTGCAACGCGATTACGTCGACGCGACGCTAATTCAACGAACAGAGATCCAGAAGACTGCTTTCCGAAAGCAAGCGGACTTTAAGAACCTTGAAAATCGATCAACTCTCGACGCGAGATCGGATTTATTCGCAACGCTATCTTTAAAGCTGCCGTGCACAGCGAACGAAATGAAATCGCGATTATATCGTTCGCAACGCTACACTCCGAAGGATTCGTTTCGATGCTAATGGAAATCGCGACTATTTCATTCGAACGCTAATTTTGATCTCTGCCCGAAATCGATTAAAGCGGCGCGTGATTATTTCGCAACGCTATTTGCA